CAGCTCTTTCGATCGAACGGCTATGATCATCAGGCCGTTGGTTAATCCAACGGCCTAAATTCAATTTTTTTTCTTTTATATTTATATATTATTGAATCCAACGGCTGAGATCGAATATAATCAAATCTAACGGTAAAAAAAAAAAAGATCTAACAGTCCAAATTTAAATCCAATGGCTAAAATAATTTTAAAAATATATATTTAACTCAAAATTCACCCAAAAACTCTATAAATACCTATGTATTTGTTCAAACATTCACACAAAACTCAATTTTCTCCTACAATTCTTCCAAATTATCTTTCTACAATTTCTTTCCATTTCCAAATTATTCAACATGGCAAGAGAGCATATTAGAGGTCGTAATTGGACCTGTGAGGAAGATGTTGCTTTATGCTTGGCATGGGTTTGTGTTAGCAAAGATGGTGTAGTTGGCACAAATCAAAATAAGAAGTTGAAGGCTTGCTTTGTAGAAAATTTTGTGATTTTTCATTATTTATCGGAATTTAAATATTTTTAGAATAAAAAGTTCATAAAATTAATTTACGATAGTCTACATATTTATTTATTTTTTTAAAATTAATTTAAGAAAAAAAATAGCCTAAGTTCATTCTTTAATGATTCCGAGCTAAAATTTTAGTCCAAAATGGTTAGAGCTGAAAAGCTGTTTATGGGCTAAAAGCTAAATTTTTCAGGCTAAAAAATTTAGCTTTTAGCCCAATCATTGGAGTTGGTCTTAGGTTGTAGACTAATTTTGTCAACTTTCAATGTTTTTGTTGCACTGGGTCGGCTATCTTGGACTAGACTAACTTCATGAACTAAGTTGGACTAGCTTAGAATAAACTAAGTTGTACTAACTTAAAGAGGTGTTTAGTGGAGTATCGGACTACAAGGAAGATAATAAAAAGTAATTTTTTTTTTTATTTTTTTTTTCCTGTTTTAGAACTCTCTCCCTCTCTCATGAAACCTCTCGCTTCCCTATGACTCCCTATTTTCCCGTCAAACCCCATCTCCCTCTTCTCACAATTCACAAAACATAAAGCCCAAATTTTACAAGTTTCTCATAGATCAAAATACAAATACCAAATTTCACAACTTTCTCCCTAATTTCACAATTGAAATCGAAATTGCCGCTAGATCTATTGTAATCGCGATGGCGACGCTCAGCTTCTTCTCCACCACCGACAAAAACCCCAACTGGTACTTGGGCATTTGGTATGCTCTAGTTCCGGTCCCGACTTAAGTCTAGGTCGTGTTCGAACGCGGAGATTGGCGTCGAGCTTCTGGTGGTGGTGGTCTTGTGGTTATAGTTGAGCAAGACGAGGAGAGAGGGAGAAAGTGGTGATGGTCTAATGCTATTATGTCACCGGAGAGATGACAAAGAGCAAAGAGGGGCCAGAGTAGGAGAGAGGACAAAGAACAAAGAGGGGACGCTAGCAGGAGAGCAGAGACGAAGCCAAGGTCTTAGCTAGTCCCATGGTTTTCAGAGGCTCTCGCTAAGAACCTCTAGACACACCCTTAGTCTTAGTCTGGGTGAGTCCCGGTTAATCTCATTAACGTTTGTCCAGCATGTTAAGAAACACAGGACTAGACTAATAGTTACTCCAGTCTGGTCAAGTGAGAGTTAGTGAGGGCAAACAAACGCCCCTTTTAGGGCTAAATGTGGCCTATGCCTCTTGGCTTGAGGTGACCTTAATAACCTAACTCCTTATAAACCTTGATAGGGTTAGGTCCTTCACCTAAAAAAATTTATTTTATTACTATCTTTACACTATCACAAAACATGCCACCTAGTACTACGATCTGATGATATTCCTCTTCATTTGTAAGTGAGCGGTCTTAGGTTCGAATCTCGTGGAGGACGAATTCGATACCAAATTAGGTTGCCTATTGTGTAGTTTAACCGAACTCCCCCCTCCCTTTAGTGTAAAATATATCATTGTACTAAACTATACAAAACATTACCTCCTCATCACCATGAATAAAAATTACTAATCAAAAGAAACAATTTATTACATATACTTATAAAAGGAAAAATTTATAACTTGTGTGGAGAAATCCTATAAAATGATTAAAAAAAGGGTGTATGTTTGAACAAAGAAACAAATGTGTGCAGTGTGCGTTAGGGAGGTTAGGTGGGTTCATAAGAGTCGTTAAAAGAGGGAGCACACCAGCTTGCTTACCTGACTAATCATTTTTTAATTTTTTTAGGGGAGGAAAACTTATACGAAACGAGGAACAAATAGCACGATGAGACGGATAACGGCACTAGAGCAATGAAACCGGGATCTGCAAGGTTTTTCTCGGCCGACGAAAGTGTAAGCTTCACGAGAAAGGACATCAAGATACAGGTTGTACTACAAGCGATATCCTTTTTCTGGTCGAAACTCGAAGGTAGAAAGCAAGACCACTAAGCAGCAGATATTAGATGTTGAGTGACTACATAGACTTCTAAAAAGGCACAAAATCCCAGGTTCATCTCCTAGCAAATAGAGAGGTACAAATTCATCAACGATTCAAAGTATCCATATACTGCACTACTGAAGAATTTAACATTTCAAGCAGCAAAGTTAGCACTACGCAGCTGCAGGAATCGTAAAATTCTTGAGAGTTATCAGCCGCATTTCAAACCTGCACCAAGGACGGAGGAATGACATTAACAATTACGCTTCAGCAACGGAGTCCAATAACCAAGGTTCAATGCAGGTATATTCAAAATTTTCATAATTTGAAAGGACACCACGCTACTGTCAAGCAAATATTACATGGTCTACTCTTAAAGACAGCATTGTAGAATGCAGAGTTCCTCAAGATGGCAAATAACACATTTCGGAGTTATCATAATTAGTATGTCCTCCTTTTCCAAAATTGGCGGTTTTTGAAGTGTCGCTTTATTATTCTACGTCCATTTCATGAGGTTATGTCATGAACTCAAATGTAAAATCAGCAACCAATCTACATCACCCTAATAATTCAAGTCACAAATACACATACAAATTTGATCTAGTGCTAAAATTAATGGTCATATCGCATGTCACTCGATTGGAGGTAACTGCATTTGAACAAGAAGAAAATGCCCTATCACCGTACCTGTTCTATCCCTCAGTAAGAAACTGCATCGATATAGTCAAGTAAGACTAGGCTCTCGTCATAAGAATCAGCAAAGTAATAATCATATTCATGAATTCCATGATTTTTCAATTGTTTGCTCACAAGGTCCAGAGAAACTATCTCATCCCTGTAATTCTGATCATTTCTCCATACAACCCAATAATCTATAAAACCGAGAAACGAGAACCGAGAACAAGTAAAAATCAAGGCAAGTGTTTTAACAGCAGAGTAACATTCATTGAAATTATAAAATAAACAGTAAATTCAAATCCACCATTGTTATAAGAAATAAGCTCTTAAAAACACCATTAAAGGGCTTCAGAAACTCACAATATATGATGACACAAAAATGGTGGTGAAAGAGCGAGTATGGTTCTGCTGCTGCGTTGCGAGCTTGAATAGTGGACGCTTTCGGGTTTTAGGGCATTGCTTTTGGTAGGTGATTGTGGTGAGAGAAAGCCTAGCAGTAGTAGGGATCCCCTCTCTCACTGTGTATTTGTTTGCCCGTTGCTACTCACTAAACCGGCTGCTTCCATATTGACCGGTTAAACCTGTTCTTTCCTACTGTCACTTGGTACTAGTCTGGTCGTATTCATCTTTACTTGTAAGTGAGAGGTCTTAGGTTCGAATCTCGTGGATGGCGAATTCAATACCAAATTAGGTTGTTCATTGTATGGCTTAATCGAACTCTCCCTCCCCTTAGTGTAAAATATAGAGTTGTACTAAACCAGCTCATTCGTATTGGCCAGTTAAGTTGATTTACCCTGATTTTGACCATGAAAGAGTTTAATCAGTTCATTCGTACCAGTAGATGGTGCTTTATTGCAGTGGACCAATGGTAAAAACTAATCATAACTATGCAACTTACTGATTTTTCCTTAATAACTAACTATTTAATATTGTCCTACTCAAAAAAAAATTACCCGTCTAGAATGAACCGGACTGTCATCATTTTTTGGTTTTGAGAACTTGGAAATCGGCCTAATCAAAGTTAGACCGACGATTCATATGTTTTCACTTATGTTGTTTTACTTTTACACATGTAGTTCTCGTATCAGTTTGTAATTGGAAAGATGTATGAGTAATGCCTTAGACGAGGATGTTGATGATGAGGTTATTCATAATTGGGTTGTAACTACATTAGCTATTGACCATGTGGCCCAAATCACATGTCTTAAATCGGTTTGGTTCGGCTTTCTGTTAAAATCAAACTGAACCAAATCATATAGTTATAATTAGTTTGGTTGCGGTTTGGGGGTAAAACCAATTGAATTTAGACCATGGGCGGTTTTCGGGTGGATTGGATCGAAACCAGGGTTTCAAATTTTCATACCAAAATTTCAAGTCGGATAGAAATTTGCAATTTCATATCATTCGGAATCCATATAATTTGTAAGCATCAGTGTACGAACTCGTCAGGTATAGCAAAGGTGTTTTGGGTAACTCCATACAATTTCCACCAAAAGTAAGCATTTTATGGGGTAAATAAGAGATGCGAGGTTTAACGGAGTTGCACAAAAGTAGCATTGTAGGAAGCACTACGCACTTGAGTTTTTGGTTAATCGCGCAAAAATCCAAGGGACTAATGCTCCAAACCTTTTTCTAATAAAATGCACCTACAATTACCATGTAAACAAACCATTTTTTAATTTAAAATGACCAAGTAGGTAAAACATGAGGCTTCTTGTAGTTTATACGAGGGTTCATAAACTACAAGAAGCAACACAGAGAAAGGTAATCATACATCCACTTACATTTTCTTCTAATATCGAACTCGAGCAAAGAGACGGCCACATTGCCCTGACTATGATAGTTGCTCAATAAAGAAAAAAGAGGTATTTTGTAATTGAAAATAACGAAAGAAAAAGACGTATACAGAAAAACGAAGGCGGCAGGGAATACATCTAATGTCATATGAAAACGGTTGCAGGCAAGGCAGCAGGGAATTATATATTTATCAACTCACAAGACAATAGACGAACTTTCACTTTCTATTCTGTACACGGAAAGGAAAGCAAACGAATACACAAAAATAACATCCTCATTCCTTATCTACAGTCACAAAAACAAAACGAAGAGGGGGAGAAACTACTTTCAGCTGGTACAACTTTACAGTTGAGAACCGGATAATAACATCTCTATGTTTTCAACAAATTTAGGGATTTGACAATGGTTTTGTATGACTTACAAGATTTCTGCCAACAGCAATATCGGTTGCCTCGGATCAACTTCTGGCATTACAGAAAACAAAAACCCGATTGCCCCTCCTTTACAATCTACCATTATGCATCTGTAATAACCGATAAAAATCAGAACTAGACTCATAAGGATCATGTTATGAAATCAGTAACTTCCACCTCCACTGTCCAAAACAAAAACATCACAAGCTTCAGTCACCTATTAGTATTAAAGTAGGTTTAAAATGACAGATAGCACAACCTGTAAACTACTCAAGTGACCAAGATGCACGACGAGAGCATAGTCTGTATAACTATAACGTTTTGCTAATTAACGAACTGACAGTCGGCCGTAAAATATGGTCACACCAATTTTGCTATTGGGATAAACTAAGGCATTATATCACCCATTACACCACTTCAATCTCAAAGAGTATAATCAAAATCGTCATGCCTTGTGGCAATTGGCAAAAGTTGAGGCAAGCCATACACACGATTGTCCTATACTTCCATTATAATTCTAGTTGAATGTAAGTAATTTCATAATTCAACAATAAGCATAAGTTTTAGTGAAACAGAGTTTACACTTTACATATAAAATTTGTCAATCAAATATGACCAAACCATAGCTGTATGCCTTGAATCAATTTAAGTTTAATTCTAAAATTTGGCAATTGTTTAATCGATTTAAGTTTAAATGTGTGGGTGCATATATAGTCTTGTGCATGTGTAGACACCTGCGAGTCCCAGGATACCAAATACAGAAGATTCATCGCCCATCATTTAAATGGAGTGCATGGAAGAACAAGAAACAATGGAGTTTGAAAAAAGGAATAAGACAGTAAGACATGATCAGTACCTCCATACTTCCATAAGACTTTGTCAGCTCTGGGCACACTCAAATGGGTGCAAGCTTCCTTCAGCAAACTCGTGCATTCGAAAATGCTCCAAAATTTCAGAATGGCTGTACCTAACATATATGGCATTAGTCAGTGGAAGAAGAGAGGATGCAAAGCCAGGAAATCAACAGTGCATATATAACTGAATACTGAAATGAAATCAAGAAATAGACAAGTTAGAAGATCTAAAATTCCATGTGCACAATCATGGATTCATTTTTCCCAGTACATGCTCGTATTAAATTCAGAATTTAACGCATCATGTTGAGACTAAGTTTGGGGATTTCAGGTTAGACAAGTTTGTTATAATTATATTGTTATCACAGAAGCAACTTCAGTCTTTGTAACAAATGGGATAATCATATAGAGTCAGACATTTCACTAGTCTTACAGGATAGTCTCACGATTATGGCTTAATCTGCGCTGATTGGATTCCATGACTACCGAAATGTCAGCATTTTCTGGTCCAGCGGCTCCACCAGCCACAATAGATGGGACTGAGGCACTGGGGGTCCAAATCTAGAATAATGAACCAAAACAAAATTAAAAATAATTTTGTAATTCCGCACCACAGCCCACCCAAAAAAAAAAGAAAAGGGTTGACTTCATAATACCCACTTTTATTGTGTTGTCAATTCCACTAGTTGCCACAACACAATCAACCGGATGGCACTGTACACAGTTCACGACTGCACAGAGAAACGTAAATATGTTAGTAAATAAAACTACTAAAGGAAGTTGGTAATCTCATTATTTTCCGTGGCAGGGGAAAACAATACCAGCTTCATCTCCTTGAAGCATTTTTATCAGTCTACCAGTTCGCTTTTCCCAGACAAACCATCTGCCATCATCACTTCCACTAGCAACATATTCACCTGCAAATCAATATAGATAACAGTACAATCATGAAATACAATATTTATGACAACAACCAGTCTGTTCGAAAATCAAACTTGTTCTTTTAGTTGAGATAAATGGTATAACTGATAAGTGCACACATAAGTTCCACTAAAATAAATAAACATAATCACCATTCACACATGACAATGTCAGTATGCAGGGCATTGATGCAATTTTAATTATTTTGAAAGAATATTCTTTAAAGCAAGATGAATTATAAAAAAGACATGAAACTGACAAAATTATCGATGCGCCCAAGATCAGATCCCAAACACATATATTTGAGGATGCCATGTACATTTTTATGATGAGGCATTGAGGTAACTCTGCTATGTAGATTCATCTAAAGGAAGTAACCACACACTGCCACAGCGCATAAATATAGAAAAGACGAAGGTTTTTTACCTTTAATACTATCATTCAATGCCAAGAATAACCAAGTCCTAATAATATCAAGACTCAATAGCATTGTATTCTTAAGTAAGATCTACACCAAACAAAAGTACCTCGCTGGCCAAGAAAGCTGGCCTGTTTTATGTCCGTTCCAACATTACAATGGCCAACATATCTCTGTTTCATATCAATAGTTGCCTCAGGCTGAAATTTAAGTTTAAAAAAAAAAAAAAAAAAAAAAAACAAAGAAGAATGTATTAGATTAAAGAGATTATTTTATCGACGCTAAGGAAAAAAACAAGAGGATCTAATTTGGTCCAGCACAAAGTTAATGCTATTCAACCAATAAAATAAAAGAATCAGTGCATGAAAAAAGGGGACTTTTCTGAGCAAAGGGTGACAGAAACCCTAGATTGATGACAGTCAAAAATGCACCTAGGACTTATTGTGAAAATAAAATAGAGAAAGAACAGAGAATATTAAGATAGAAATAAAACTACACTAAGAACAACTTCCACTCTAATTTTATGTAGGCAATCCCATTCTCCAACATTTCCTCATATAATTGGAATCCTAAATAGTAAGACGCCAAGTTATCATAATTACATTTAAACATATAATTAACCTCTACATTAATTTTCTAAGCTTGTGCTTAAACCTAAAAAGAGAAATTTTCTTCTTGCATCCGTCATTAAAGGGTGTATGAAGACTTATCACAGAAAAGGGCAGAGAAAGAATCAGTGGTTGGGCAATGAATACCTAGAATGAGGTATAAAGTATAGAACAAATCACATAGAAGTCAATAACTTTTTTCTACCATCCAACACAGTGAACCTATACTTGGACCAATTACACTAAAGATCAAAGAAGAAATCATAATCAATCCTCTACAGGTAAACAAAGTAGGAACACAACAAGATATAAATCAGCACAATAGCAAAAGATAATGCCAACAACACCATTGCATGTTATCAATCTGAAAACACCAGAGTTTCACATCATAAGTATGAAAGCAACCTGATATGGTATTCTTTCATTGTGAGATGACGAAGAAGGGGATCCAGATGGGCCGTTTGCACCACCAACTTCTCTAGCAGAATCACTTCTTCGATGAATTCTCAAGTTTAAGCTTCCTTGTACAATATTGGGCTCGATATCATGCTCTTCATCACCTGAGATCGACGTTTCAAAGTCCAGCTCTAGTTCCTCATCATAATCAGAATCTTCCCTTTCAGATCTTGGACCATCTTGTGAAACATCACTATTACCCTCTGATCGGTAGAGTATGTCACTCAGTGATAGAACTCTTTCACCTCGAGGTTCAGACCTGTGTGCTCCATCATTTGGCTTACTATTTCTTTCAGATTCAACTAGACAGTAAAACAAACAATTACAACTGCATAACAATGAATCAATACAAAATATGCCATAAATTGATCTTTGCAAATCATGTTAATTCACAACATATTCATTTTATAGGATATGTTTGGCTCAGTAATCCAACTACCATCAGCAAAGTACATTGAATCTCTTAAGTCACTAATCCTATTATTAGTCCTCACAAAGTAAACTAAGTTGAACCAAGCAATGCAAAGAATTAGTCCTCACAAAGTGCTGATCTAAGCTGCACACCGGCCCTCAAGTCACCATTGATTGTTCAATTACATGGCAAGAGTGCAGGAAGTGAAATAGGGTGTGCAGAAATCAACTCCCCCATTCACATTATTTTAGAATAAATGAAGAAATCAAGGTGTTAACTGTTAAGGATTTCTGTGAAGAAAGCTACAACAGTTTTTATTTTGTCGATTTTACCAAATATGGTTTCCCCAAGTAACGACTAAAATTTATCTTTATGCAGATGAAAAAGGAAAGGAAAAAAATGTCAAATATACTGGTACTCTCACATCGAGGTTTTGGAAGTTGGCATGTCAAAGACCCCATGTGAGCGCTAACTAGAGACACTCATGTATGCATCCACAAATTATACAATATATTGAATTTAAAAAAAAAAATATATATATATATATATATATTATTGTCATTCCAGTATGCTGTAGTTAGTAAAAAAAACTGGAACAAGGCTAAGATGGAAACACAATGCTTTAGTCCTAGTCTACTTAAAATGGTCAAATCAACACTACTGTACTGAATAAAATTAGAAGCTGATCAATTGAAAACTATTTGGGGACCAGGGTAATGCACAAGACATAAAACACTAAAAATCACAAACCTGCAGCAAGATCCCCTTGTACACGCTCCAATCGTTCTGCTACTTGAGAATTTGATGGAGCCAAAGATTGGGCTGCGATAGCAAATTCCAGAGCTTCTTTATGTTTAGCCAACTGCAAGGAAATAGCAATTACCAACCAAAAAGTGCTTAACAAACACAAAGACAGGTACAAGCTTATAATTTCATTGCATTTCCTTGTTTCAGTCATAAACTAACAAACAGTTCCTCAGTTAGGAGAAAAATTTAGGCCCTCAAGAGAACAACATAAGTGAATAGTCTATGACAGATTTCTTAAGTAAATTATCAATAAAAAAAAGTTTAATAAAAAAATTAACAGTAATGGAACAGATCAAGAAAGAAGTAATAAAACAAATGAAAGTTTAATTAAATCTATTCGATTATAAAAGAGTCACTTTGTAATACTAATATTAGTCTTAGTAAAAAAAATTCATTAAAACCCAGGCCAACAAAGGTTTAGAGTCTAAGAACCATGCCAATTATACCCCTTCTATGTTAAACATGTATAAGAAACTTTTCAAAGAAAGTATAAACAAAGATTTAAAAGCCAAGGTTAATCTAGTATTTTATAATAATTAAACTCAACTTCTATCCACCCATTTCTCTCTACCACACCCTATTTTGTCTCCTGTGCAACTTTCAATATATTGCAGTAACTCCCATCACACTAGTGTTTATAAATATTGGTTATGTCACTCCAGTTCGCTCCCTTCCCCTCTCTCCAAATGAAAAAAAAATGATTTGGGAAATTGCACTTGCTGTCAAAGCATATTAGGGACCAATAATTTATTAGGTTAAATTTTGAAAATCAGATTTACGATCCTGGCAAGGATATCCTGATTATATAGGAAAGGGCAACAAGTTTAAACACTTTGTTAAAAAACAAAAGGTTCTGTTGCAATATTGCATCTTCTGGATCACATTAACTTGGTAAAAATTCAGTCCTCTTAATCTCAACCCGTCCTGTCCAACAGAAGACTATAACACGACTCTAGACCTAACAAAAGTTTAAAAAAAATGTAAATTGGCCAATTGGGAAAGTCAAGATGACTGCAGAGAAGATGGTAAAAGGACGCTGGATTAGTCCCAACACTTAGTGACAGCAATGTATGACTAAACCAAAATCATAGTCAACTGCAGGAAGCACCACAGAATTTACCTGCGATAAAGCTTCAGACATATAGTAATGAGCTCTGTAAGAGGAGCTAATGAGCCTCCGAGCATTATAACAATCTCTTATAGCCATATGAACATCATTTTTCCACTGGCGCTGGAAAAAAAGAAAAAAAGAAAGAAAGAGTTAAGCGCCCTTCAACTAATGAATATGTTTCCAACCAAGTAACTTCACATGATAAAAAATCACCTTAAGCAACAATGCCGCACGAATACAAAGGCAATTATGCTTTAGTGTAGGCCCAATATCACAACCATTTCCATCCAACACCTCATTGCACGCTTCAATGCCATAAAAATAATCTGTCCCCTCCTCCAAGGACCGCTCAGCAATTTCAATTAGATTCCTGCACTTCTCAAACTGAAACAACTATATTATATTAGATAAGCCACAAATGGATTTGCTAGAGAATACCAGCTACTTCCAATTCCTTTCAGACAAAATAAAAATGACTAGGATGCAAGTACAACTAAACAAGAAAAGACGCACACCCTTGCAGCAACGTTGCCTCTTTTGGGAAGACCATTTCTGAACTACATTGGATGCTGGTTGATGCAGTTCGACTCCATTGAGTATAGGACTGAAGCTGGTTAGTTTCAAAACACCTCCAGAAGTATACTGCATAGCACTCTCACCAGCTGGAATTGCAAAACCAATATATATTGTTTAGCCGGAATGTACTAATATGATACAACCAGATGAAGACAAAAATGACAAAATAACAAAGTGAGATCAGAAATTTTTGTTGTCAACTTGTCATAAATAGTCCAAGCATAACTGGACGTTCATTTAACCAACAATATTTTTATCCTATAACTACACCCTTGCCACATAAATCACATCATTTAACTGCATAAGCAAATTATTTTGAAGGATAATTAACATACCATGATTTACATTCATCAAATATATGTGCTCCCCACTATAACTAAGTAGAACCTCTTCTCCGTCTGGACTAAATGCAACATGAGTCAAATGCAAGCTAGCACGTCCCTGAAAAAAAATACTACTTTCCTCAATACATATTTGATAAACCAATTGGTGTATACATTAAACTTGGGCATACAAATCAAACATTCAAAACTTCCGTCAACGGTTTCTTCTTGCCCTCAGGTTGTATGTGGTGGGGGGAGATAATTAGGATAGCATGAAAAAGTTTATCCGTCAAAAGTAAAAAGGAGTAAATAACAACTAAAAGAGTCAAAATGTTCAGGGGTCAGAAAAAAGAAGTTACAACCTGAACACTAACAATTTTCCAAATCATATCCCCAAAAGCCCGAGCAAAAGATCCACATAAATTTTTCTGCTAAAAACTGTAACTTCGCTGACTGAAAATATAATCCATAAAAGAAAGTACTAAACATCCAAAAGTTGTAGCAAATAGTTTGATGCAAGCACAACCAGCATATATTTTACCAAACAAAAACATGAATCTGAGTTTTTATGAAGACAGGAAGCAGTTGAGTAATTAAGAACTTTGCACTAACACGTTCGGAGAGATGCATTGGACAAAAATAGTTAACACAAGGAGGTGGCGCTGTCCGTTTCCGACAGGATGTCAGTGGTGGCAGCATCCTTCTATCATATAAACGGGCAAATGCATCACTGCAAACATTCACGACGAGAATCAGTTCAAATTGAAGAGTGGCAGGGATGTTAACAAAGTCATTGCATTAAGAACCAACAACAACAAAATACCTCCCACCAACTAGGAGCAAATGAGGTCTAGTGGAACTGATATCACAAGATTTTAAAGAAAAATTTTGCTTGGGGGGATCAGCAAGTGACTTCTTTGCTCCACACCGCAAGTCAAGCTGCCATTAAGAATATATTTGAAAACAATGATTTCCAAAGTATTAGGACACACAGGGAAATAAAAAGCACCTAACGTTCCAGGCTGCAAAAGAATGGTATACTAACAAATCTGCACCAGTTTTTTGCTAAAGGAAATTTTAATGTGGACAGATAAAGCTCTCTGGTTACATCAAAGAGGTGAACTACAATTAAGATTCGAGCATATCTCGCAAAGGACAGAACTACACCAATTAATTTGAAAATTGTACAATATTTAGTAATGACCACACAACAGAGCCCACTTTTTCAAGGATCAAGCTGTTGCCCACTAATTGGGCTCTTTGACTCAGACTTGCCCCAAATAAGATTCCTTAATTTAGGCTTCCCATGTGAGTCTCAATGGAGAAAATTCATCAATACTGTATTGTAAATACATTTTGAGAGTATTAGAGAGAGAGAAAAAAACAAATACTCAAACATGAAGATTTTAAATAGTAGTTCATCAACCTAGACATATTACCAATCAATCATGGACATGGCACATTTGAGAAACAACCCCACAATCAAAAGAACGATTTCACATTCCTACTCTGGTGACAGGTAAAGATAGCTACTATCATGTATTGAAAATAAGGAAATAAGGTTTAATTTTTACACAAATAATATATACACATAATACTAAGTCCTATTTTGCAGTAAGTGATGAAACTTGCATTATTTTTCATAGTTACAAGGACACATAAGGAGTTTATACATATCCATTCCTTGCAAATTTGTAATACAAATTAGTATAGATAAAGTTGGATTCTACAGCTTGTCAATGGCTTTATTTACTGGTTGAGTATCAATTCAAGATGAAATTCCTTAAGAACATTAATCTTCATTATTATAACTTCCTTTTCTGTGGATGCTTGACAAGATGTAAGGAATAATTTACATCTAAAAGTTTGATGAAATTGTCACAAAATAATGAAGTGTCATATTTCCTTGACAACATTAGTTGGATATTCATTTTCAAGAAATCATCACCATAGTAAAATGTTATATGGAGCATGATCAACTGACACAGACACAAAACTAATGATTTTTATTTCTTACAAAATAAAAAGAAAAAAGCTAATGAATTTTATATCACGGAATGAATTTTTAACAAATTTAATTTGTTGATCCAATCTTGGATTTAATTCTTCTGATGATGACCAATTATCAAATTTAAGCCACTTCAATGTAGACTTATTCCAGTAAGAAGGTTCGATTTCTAATATAAAAATGTCATAATATATATGGAATGTTAGTTATTAGAATGACCGAAAATTTGGCATATATAGTGAGCATGACTAAAGCGTTAATCTAACTGTTGAAATTCAATAAAAAAAAAAAAAACAGTCCTACAGAAACCTATTGAGGGCACAAAAAATATAATGCATGCCTTCTAAACTATCATAGAAAACCCATATATGTTTTCATCTCCAAATTTAATAGTCCGGTTTTCTCTCATATCCTTTATATTTTCCACCCTCTGTTCTGATACTCGCACTTTTGACTTGCTATTACCTTTTTTATTCATGCAAATAAACCCCAGTTTAACATTCCCTAATCCCATTCAGAGTTCCATCTAATTTTACTATCTGAGTTTACAACATGACAAATTGATGTTTTCATGTTAAATTAGATGAACTAAGATCTAATTAACATAATTATTTACCAAAACATTGCGACATTCTTGATTAGTGGATCCAGCAGGTGGGCAAGAAGTGCCCTCTCGGAAGTCATGCTGTCTCAAAGTTCCATCTTCACTTGCACTCCATACCACATTGGGATTTCCAACTTCAACCTGCCATAAGAAGCAGGCGGAAACTATGAGACAAGTTCGATACTCATAAAACCAAGAACAACCCAAAACATAATTTTCTTTTCTTGTGTCAATATAGATACTACACAAAAATTTGATGTGAAATTTCTCTACAATCTGGAATCTTACAGCTAACTTTTTTACTCTTCTACTATGGCATTGATACACAGCTGATGGAGAAATAGCATTATCATCAGTTCCTCTCCCACTTAAACGAGACAAATTAAATAATCGAACCTGCAAAAAGATAAGTTTAAATTATGTTCAGTATTTAAAGTCTAGGCATAGAGTGTTCACATTCACAGATATAAATGTTTAAACATTACTTCTGCATCTCCAGCTCCAGAGACCACAAGCTCATCAGAAGTTTCAGGGACAAATTTTGTACAAAATATGTTCGCACTGTGCCCAGTCTCTATAGAATGCAAAAGCTTCCGACTAGAGTAGCTCCAGATATTTATCTGCAGAATATGGAGGCATTAACAACTTGGTCATGATGCAATACATATACAGCTGCATTTCACAAATATACATCTTCACTTTCCCTTTAAGAAGGGTTACCAAGCTTTTGAATTCAACAACAAAAGCCTATTCCAATGGAAAAGAATGCTTAACTTCTCTTCAAGCACCATATATCTCATCCATATTTCATCTTTGCAGAAGTAGTGACATAGGGAGCAATGTATGCAATGTTAAAACAATTCTCAATGAAGAAATATATGTGATCCACCAGATATATTATCTCAATGGAATTTAACACATGTATCCAAGTCACTAGGATGATTCTGCATCATAACTATGTAGAATAATATTGGACACCATGCTAATATCACATTCCGTAAAATTTTACAATCCCCTTCATGTATGGTGGTTCTATCCCTGTACTAACTATAAATCATTTGGGAAATGTTATAAATAATATCATGGAATTAAGTAATTAACATACCCGTGTGTCATCTGATCCAGACATTAAAAGCGAGCCATTCGAATTCCAAGCAATGGAATTAACACAACCTTGATGCCCCTGTAGAGAGAGCGAATCATAAAATGATAATTACAGAAATGTAAACATATTTATAAATAAAACGTCACCAATTTCTAACTCAGTGGATTTTTTTTTCAATAATTACATCCAAAGAAGAAAAGCAAACATAGGAAATAAGCTAAAAGATAAGCTATGACAAGTCTCTTCAAATTGAATATGCAACAGCCAAATTTTTGTACTTCCAAACCATACCTCTGCACCGAAAGCTCAACAGAAATCATACTATGTACCAAAGAAATTTAAGTATCAATCAGAGTTCCACAGTTGTTCATGCACGTAAATGCAAAGAATGAGGTTTCAACAAAATGACACTCCACAGTCTACACTATTTCCATCTGTTTAAACTTTAAAACATTTATGGCACGATATCTCTCATGCTGAAAGTGCATTGGGGGACAATGTCATATGATGAACCTCTCAGTAAGACAACTAGGTGCTCTGAATCATACAAACTGAAAAATCATGACTTCAGCCCATGTGCAGAGGTTTGACTGTCAGTTGTTCATCCCCCCCCCCCCCCCCCCCCCCAAAAAAAAAAAAAAAAAAAAAAAAAAAAAACCACCACACCACACACACACACACACACACAACACTCCTAAGTTCAGTGAGCTGCCTGGTGTCGCTACAGTCTCAAACTTGTCCCGAGATAATTAAAGTGAGTCTCTTAAGTAGAGTACAGTTGAGGTAGTGTCTCGCCCAAATAGCAGTTCAATTCAACCTAGTCCATAAACCAAAATCCTGAAAGAAAAATTGATCATATTTCAAATGAAGTGGAGTTACTGTTGTTTAACTAGTTTCTGGTCGAATCGCGTTCCCTCTAACTGTTAATACACAAGTAACAGCTGAAGAACCAGAATGGATAATTACAATTAACAAATTTCAATTACCTTAGAGCATCTCCAAAGGAGTTAGCAAAAAGCTTTTTTAAAAGTGTCATTTGCTAACTCATTTGGCACTTTTATGCTACTTTAAAAATGTGTCACTCCAGCCCACTCTTCAAGGAACTCTTCAAATTTTATTTTTCACTTTAAAATATTAATATATTAACTTTATTTTATCTTGTGAGCACAAACTTTAGTTCTAAACTCTTTACTAAACAATAATTTTAAATAAATATATTGCGGAACCTAATTTGAAGTAGCAATTGATCTTTTACAAGGTGAGTTGCTAATTCTTTCAATTTGCTAATTGGGTTGCTACCCCCGTTGGAGATGCGTTTTTCCTACGTGACATTGCAAATTAGACTTTGCTACCCAATTGCTAACTCCCTTGGAGATGTTCTTAGATCATCACATATTTCACCTCACATCACAAGAATTCACATTTACTACAAACTAGGGCAGAAGAAAACATTAACCGCAAAAGAAATGAAATGCCGAAAATAAAATCGAAGCGAACAAACCTCCAATTCTCTTTCCTGAGAAAGCCTTCGCACCAACGACGAGTGCATCTGCAACCTGTGATTGGCATCCTGCAAACAGCACGCAAAATTATTCACCCAATCTTCACAAAAACAAGAAAATCCAAGCGAATTGCGAGCCGAAATTTCCAAAACGCGAAAGAGGGAAAGAGGAAGAACATACGTGCCGAACGTCGACGTATCGTCTCGCAATCAAGTCGTGGATGTTGCCGTCGTGAAAAGGGACGCCTTCCATTGAAGAGAGAAGAGCCGAAAACCCGAAACCAAAAACCGAAACGCGATCGTGTACCAGTCCGATAATCTTCAGTAAGCCACTTGCAGAAGAAGAAGCGCTTCTTGATTCTCCTCCTCGTCCAATTTTCAGGAACACGAAACACTCGCCTTTTCCTACACAATTTTTTTTTTATTAATTTATGTCTTTATATATTTTCTAATCTTTTTTATATTATTATTGTCTAGAAGATTACAGCATGATGCTGTCGTTTGGGAGTGAGATCCACGGCTGTGAGACGTCTGGGAGATGTTTAACCGCCGTTGATCTTCTCTCCATTGGCGATGATGGATATGGTTGAAACTGGACACGTGCGACCCGCTGTATCGTCATGTATTGTTTTGAAGCGCTAAGTGCGGTCAGGGATACGGCATGTCGTTCCGTGAGTTCTGGTTTCTGGACCCAACGCGACCAGGGTTGGCTGTGTTGGAAACTCGGAGGATGGACCCTTCTCTCTTCCGGGCTAATGAGATTTGGATTTTTAGCAAAGAGGATAGGAATTTGAGATTCTAAGAATTAGATACCCATGCTTATATGGTATATTGCAATCTTTTTTGTGTACTTGCGACTTGCAATTTGCGAGTATTAAAATTTGAGATTTAACGAGGTTAATTTTTTGTTATCTAATATTTGCAACAACAAACATATTCCCCTATCAAGCCATTTCCTAATAATTCTTCCAAATTGATCTTTTGAATTCCATGTATGGAGATTACCCACATATACCTAGTCCACCGTACCATGATTATTAACCCAAGAACGTAAGCCCCCAAATATGTACCCACTAGCACCTCTCTTTTTTTCACTGCTACAATTGTTAGAAATGTGCTAAAGGTCAATCATAAAATGATACTCTACAGACATTTATGAAACTAATTCAGTTTAATTTAAGGAAAATATTATGGTTTAGAGTCATCTCATTAAATGTTACACATTTAAACAATATGTCCAAAAAATATGTAATAGAGAGAATGTAATATAAGAAAATTAGATTCATGAGATATTTATTTCTCATACGTATATCCTAAACGTTCCTAATTGTAGAATTGTCAATCAGTCATTCACAATCTATAAGATCAGTATATACTATGTCATCCCTTTCCAGCGACATGCCCCTGAGCTCTTTCTCGGCCTTGCCGCACTTCCCCAACCCCAACCAGCCTTTCAATCACACTAGGTTTGAATTGTTGCGATTCAGTCATGGGTGTAGGTGTGGTGTCGATGGGTAATGATGACGGAGGGGTAGCGCTAGTGGTGGTGGTTCTGCTCAGGGTAAAGGGCACGGGACGAAAAAGCCCGTCTCTACAGGCCCCAGGTTTCACAGACTGCAAAGCGCTCACTATATTCATAGTTTCCACCAAGAGAAACAAGGAATGGGGAGTGTTGTCGAACAAGATTCAGAGGGATCTTTTGAAGCCTGTCATCAATCCATGGCATTTTTGGACTTTTATTCTTTGTTTTTGGTGCAGTTTGACATGTGGAGCTTTTTACTTTATGCAATTTTGGGCACCCAAAAAACATTTCAATTTAACCCTTTTTTTTTTTTTGTGAGAATTTTAACGAAAAACTTTCGTTACTGTTTATTTTAACGAAAAATCACATTTTTACACTAAAAAGTTAATCCTAGTACTATTCACTTTATCCTTTATTTTATCCTTATTGTTAAAACTCAAATTTTTCAAATCATTTTCATTAGTTTTTTATTTTTTATTTTTTTTATAACTCGGAGGAGATAGAGAAAGTGGAAGGTTTGTTGTAATTGCAAATCGCCCAACCTATTCGAGCCGTACCCAGAGAGGACGCAGTTGGACTGGCAAGAGATGTGTGCTGCCAAAATGCGGAAGAGGGTTAGTGGGGAACCGAAGAGAGACGGAATAAAAAAAAAATTTTAATATTTTGTTTCCACATGGCGCAAAGTTGGCTCCACATCATTAAAAATTAGGATTTTACCACGTCATCATTTAACGATTTATTTAACATAATTTTTAACGAGTGTAGCATATTGCAATAGAATGTTACCTCTTTGGATGACATTGCAACATTTTAAAGATGATATATAAAGTTGCAAAAATGTAATTTATCATTTGTTTTCTTTAATAATGTTTAAGTAGTTGTCTTTGATTTTTTTTTTTTTTTTTTTTTGGATCAAAGATAAGTTTTATTACCAACGATAAAAAATTACATGACAAAGGCCCGATTATAATAAGTAAACACAAAGTAAAAATGAACCTTCCAAACTAAACAACAAGAGGCCGAACAATGTTGAAGCCCAAAACCAAAAACAAACTGATCTCAGTCACCAATTGAAAGAAGCCGATTGGATCGCCATGAGTGACACTGCTAACATATCAGAATTGCGGAGGATGGACAAGGAACAAGTGTACGAAAAGACATATCAGAATTGCGGAGGATGGATAAGGAACATGGAGATGGGATAACAAGGGTTAGAAGAAAGAGAAGGTCGAACCTAAAGGCATAGTCTAGTAAGACCTACGGCTATTAGGGTTGAAGAACATAGATCGGGATGGATAACAAGGGAAAAAGATACAGACGGAAAGAAAGGAGAAAGCAAATAGAAATAGGAAAGGACTGGCCTCCGACTTTTGCCGCAGTTAGGGTCGGTGGTTTCAAATTTTGACGGAAGGGAAACCACTCACACCACTGTGAGTAAACTCTCACAAAGAGAGAAAGTCTCTCACACACAGAGAAGGTAGATGTCTTTGATTTTTATGTATTTGGTTTCTTTTACATTTATGTATTGTTTTTAAATTTTAAGTATTTTAGTATAAAATAGTGGTTTAATTAACAATACATTGTAGTTGAATGTGTAAGTAATGTACTATAGTATTTCTTAGGATGCTAAAGGGTGATAAAATATTGAGAGGAATAAAATGTAGTCCCTACACCATTGGGGATGAACATTATTGTCCGTCAATATTCCTTGAAAATTATCTTTTTGTGTTGTATTTAAGAACGTTAGAAAAATATAGCCACATCATTAGAGATGACCTTAGATCTTTAAGTGTTAGTTTGAATTGTTGTGCTTTGAAGGAAAAAAAACCTCCTTATGCTTAGGGGTGGGCACGGGCTATGAGGAACCAGACCTTACCCGTTGTAAATAATAACGGGGCAAGCCGAGCCAGGTAATGGATTTTGAGAATTTGGAACCGGACCTAACCCAGCTCGTTTGAAACGGGCCGAAACGGACTGGGTCCACGAGTCCAATATCGTTGACATCGTCGGAGCTCACCGGATTCTGCGAAGAAGATTTAGAAATTGTCCAAGGTTAGAATCAGCTCTATTCCTTGAAAATTACTTGTCCAAGGTTAGAGATGGCCTTAGATCTTTAAGTATTAGTTTGAATTGTTGTGCTTTGAAGAAAAAAAAAAAAAAACTGCTTGTGCTTAGGGGTGGACACAGGCCTAAATTTAGAGGAACCGGACCTTACCCGTTGTAAATAGTAACGGGGCGGGCCGAGCCAAGTAATCGGTTTTGAGAATTTGGAACCGGACCTAACCCGGCTCGTTTGAAACGAGCCAAAACAAGCTGGGTCCACGTGTCTAATATCGTTGAGTCTCTAATGTCGTTGACATCGCCGAAGCTCACCAGATTCTGCAAAGAAGATCTAGAAATTGTCCAAGGTTAGAATTAGCTTTATCCCTTCACCAAATTAAATCAAAACCGTCCATAAATGATGGAAATATTCTATTATGTTCAATCCAAAAAGACTTGGGTTGAAAATGGCTTCGGACTCAACGAAACTCAGCCGAAGTCCGTGATCGATTTCTAGAAAAATGCTCGTAGGCATCAAAGGTTAAGAATCCCAATTCACACTTAAATTTCACTCAAAATTCATGTAAGAGTCTAGAAACTTACCAACAAGCTCATAATTTCTATACTGGGGGTTTAAATCCGTCTTTGATTCGTCATAATTTGGACAAGTCTCCCAATCAAATTCTGGAGAAATTAACAATGATGAAATAAGGGTTTAAACCCTCAAATTTCATAGCAAAGGCCAACATACATCACCACATAACTCAACCATATACAAATTGGTATGGATTTGGACGAATGACTCATCAAAATTTGATGAGTTGGCCTAGGGTTCTCTGGCTCAAGAGTTTACTACTGTCGTAGCTTTAGATCTTCCATGCAAGCACACAACATGATCTTCAAGCCACCCAAAAACTGATTATAGTGGTTCCGATTTGAATCTAGCCAGGAAAATGATTATTGTGGGTGATGGTTTCTCGATGAAAATAAGCGAGTTTTGCAAAGTGAAGGTTAGAGAGAGACGGAAATTCAGAAAACGAGGGAAAGAAATTAGACCGAGAGGGTGATAGAATCATAGATGGTAGAGATTTAATAAGGTAGGAAATCAACGATCTAGGCCGGGGGCCCGTTTTCTCCAACTTTTAGAACCGCCCCGCCCCATTATTTACTTGGACCCGTCTCATCCCGCCCCGCCCCGTTATGTATTTATTATTTTTGGACCTGTCCTGTACCACTCCTACTTATGCTATGCTATGAGAATGAGCAGTTGTAAAATAATATAGTAAAGTGTTGGTAAACTATACTTGTAAAAATGTTTATAATAAAAAATAATAAAAACATTGTTATAGTATTTGGTAAATTTTTATATAAAACAGTATGAATGTGTAAAATGACCAAAATGTACATAAAGTTTCTAGGCTTTTCTTCCTTTTTCGTCATTTTCCTTCTTTTTCTTTATTTCTTTCTGGGCCTTTCTTCCTTTTTTTGTCATTCTCTTTCTTTCTGCCAGAATGTTTCTAAGCTAACAAACATATCAAAAAAAGCGACCGCGATGGATTCACATGTCATGCCCCGATCCTAACATACGTCCAAGATCTACACATGATGTCACCACATTCCTGTTTATCCATCATGTCTTAACTCCAAAACAATCCAAACACAATCAATAATTCAACCACGCAGTCATTTCCTTTTATTTCATGGCTGCATCTAACCGTAGCATTAGACTGCCTACGTACCCTAAGAAGGGATCAAGTCATTCATAGTTCCCTAACATACCTCACATTATTGCAAAGTCTGATCAGAATTCCATCTCATATCAAAGCAAGCCATAATCACACAAATAGACATCCTACAAAAGCAATAATTCAATTACCCTCCAAGTCATCCAATTATGCACTTGATCAAGTAACACCCAACAAGAGTAATCAACCAATGAGATAAATAATAATATAACATTCCACGAAGTTTAGTATAATCAAACTCCGTAAATGTCTATTGTATTTCCCCTAACTAGATTCCTAAGCATTGCTCTTAGTTACTAATACACGGATCCTTCAACTTGGCCAATTCCATTTTCACAAATATAAGACGTTACTAAATGCATGACATGAACTTTAATTCTAGTCAAAGTACTTGGAATTACAAATTTAACAGCACCCAATTCAGATGCCATTTTGGTTGATCTATAATAACTTCATCACTGCCAATATGTTTGAATGGAAATAATTCTGGACCATAAGGGATTTATGTGTTTCAATAGGTATAATTGCACCAATACATTAAGTCATTGAGCTTATAATTGTATAAGAAAATGGTTCTTTGAACCCCAATACATAACCATATAAAGTGGTTTAGTCACAAACTCAATACGGATAAGTAAATTAGAATTAAAACTGAGAGATGAACGAATATTGCAAAAGCAGCAACCTCTTCTCCACAAAAGCTGCAGAAAAGCAATTTCAGTCAACTAAGATTAAACCTGATTTTGAACACCCATAACTATACCGGTTCATGCAAACTTACATGGGTTTGGAAGCTTGTTTTGTGTACTTTAAAAGAATAAAAGATTTGTAGATAACGGGGTTCTAAGTTGAAAGTTATGCAAGTTACAAAATAGAGTCTCAAAACTGGAACCCCAGTATTTGCTGCTGTCTGGTAGTTTCGGGACTCAAGTTTGAATATGATTTTGACATATCAATACTCAATGGAATTACGTGAAATTAGATGGGTTTAGATCACGAACATGTCTACTTTTAAACCACGTACTATACGCTAAAAAGGAATTCGTAAGGACTTAGAGCTCAAAGTAGGCTACTTGAAACATAGTTTTTCTGCAACTTAGAACCTATACTCTTATGATTCAAATTACACTTCCAGTTCCTGGGTAACATCTTAATTCCTTATTCCTCTTTGCTTCTCCTAGCATCTTCTTCTATATTTCCATCGACTTCTCTCAAAGATCCAGACATAGTTTCTGTCCTCGTCCCCCTTTTCTTTTCCCGCTCTCTCCCCCCTTTTCTCTTCCTCCCCTTTCCAGAAACCTCCTTTTCCCCTCTTTGCTTTACTTTAGTTAACATTTTATAATATTATTAGTTTTACTCTTTAAATTTAGAATTACAAGAATACCTTTAACATTTGTGTTTCATAAAATCTTCATTCTGGCTCTAATTCCTCTCCACTTGCGCTCGTGAGCTTGTATTGACGAGTACTACGAACATGTGCTAAGACACACATGTCACGAGTTCAATTGTCTACAAAAGTCAACATCTTCTCCTCTAGGAGTATTTTGGACATTTCACAATTTTCAAAAAATAAAATATAGTAACTTATAGACAAGTTAAACTTAGAGCCATATTTTATTGGAGTTTACGGTGATATAAGCACTTACTAGGTCATATTTTATTGGAGTTTCTATATCTTCTCTATATTGACGAAATGACTAAAATAATTTACAATGGAAACTTATGAACCACTTCTATCAATTTCTATTTTCAAAACCAATATGAAGAGATATGCAAATCCCAAGAACCATTTCGTACAAAGAAATGGTCAGTTTGACAAAAATACCTTAAAAAAAAAAAGTGACCACGTGGTTGCTTACTTGTTAATTTGACAATTATGTTGAAAGATTCTTCACAGAATGACCAAAAATAATTTATGGTGAACAAAATTAGAGATTACTTCTATCATATTTCAATCTCATAGGCCAAAATGATGTTAAACTTAGAGCCGTACACGTGCCCCTCATGCACATATATTTCTAATGCAAACACAGTGGTCCCTCCCCCTCATTTCACAATTCCATTATTAAATCAAAGAAAATATTTCTGCAACAACAATACTTCATTCAGCAAAAACAAAAGGGAATCACATCACAACACACAAATATTGAAATACACATCGCTGTCCCGTATCATAAAGCTTGCATGCAACGTAAGTACATGGACATCTGGACAATAGTAACCCAACACCCACATGCAATTTACATCCCGCACACCCAAAAACCACACTTAAAAAATAACCATAGTAACATCTTTAACCCCATCATCTCACGGGGTAAGCCTGTCGCCTCACCTCGAGTAACAGTCGCTCCGCTCACATGGCTGTCATGGATTGAACCCTTTTGATCGGCAGAAATTGGTTAGTTTTGGGACCCTCTTTTGGCAAGTTGGTATGATGGGGTTGGTGAAAGCCTTCTTGCTCGTGCAAACTTGCAGAGAGAGAGATGACAAGTAAACACAAAAGTGAGAGGAAAGTGAAGTGTTGGGACCCAAAAAAACACAAGGAGCGTGCACTCTTCATCTCTTTTGGTGGGACCTCTCTCCTCCTTCTCTTTGAATTCACCCCATGCCAATATATGACACGCTCTCTTTCTCTCCAGGTGCGCTTGTCACTTTCTCTTTACCCTAAAACAAATCATTCACCATTTCAATCATTTAACACAAATGCTTCAAGAGGGTTTCATGCTCGATTCATCCTCTCCGGAGCCGATCCCGTTTTCGCCACCATAGCTGGAACCTACTTCATGCCGTACTATATCCGCAAGCAACACGTATGTACACCGACTTATTCTCCAATATTACTAAATCGACGATAACTGATAAGGAGTAATACAAGGTGCCTACTAGAGGCACTACTGGAACTGACATATTAAGGACTCAGAGGGAGTCAAGTCCGAAAGCCTTGGCTTTGAGCTTCAACGATTTCAAGTACTGGATTGCTTCATCGAGCACCACAATCGCATCCTTTCCCTTTCCATCGGGAATTATGTTCTGCAGAATGTCTATGGTTTCGCGGATTTTCTCCTTTCTCATCTTCTTGTTGCTGGACAAGGAATCCACTTCTCTTAATCCAGAACTTCGGTTGCAGGCACAACTGGATTCTGCATCATCCTCCAACTCCAGCGATCGGTTGTGTTTCATGGGACTAGCAGTGTCCATTACGGATGGCACGTCATCTTTACCCCCATCAAATAGCTTCCGCTTTTTATTCATTCCATCAGAACTGGCAACTTCTTCAAACCAATTTTGCTTATCATGAACTGTCATTGTACTCGGAGAATGGCCGGTGCTAGTAACTTCATCGTCCTCGGTATAATCGCTATCACCATCTGAATAGAGCAAGGCATTCAGTTCTTCTGTGTCTTCATGCATCTCACTCTCAGCACCACATTCATCATTCCCTTTGAATTCATCTGTCAAAACTGCTCCAGATAGATTTTTAAAATCTCTTTCATTTCGAGGATCATCCCCATCCAAATAATAAGCACCTTGTTGGTATGGATTCCAAGAAGTACGGCACTGCAATGGATTCACTATCTCAGAACTAAAGACCAAAGTTGTCTGATACCCTGACGGATTGTTAACAAGGAGTCTCTTCTGTTCAAAGGCACTGTCTGTGTACGGTATGAATGTCCCCCCAGTACTTTCATGACAGGCAGAAGAAACTCTCTCTTTGAGACCATTGTCTGTGGCAGGCATGAAGGCCTGTCTGACACGGGGTAAGCAATAGAACCAACCTTTAGGTTCATTTGGTCTGCCGACTTGTGGTTGCGGCAACTCGGAGGATGCATATGGCGGCATAGTACCATTTGTCAAAAGCATATTAGTGCCTGGTTTCCCATAAGCAGTAATGAAGTTTTGTTGCCCCAAGCCATGTTGAGCACCCATTGCATTCGGATCGGGTGGTTGCCAGCCCAGATACTGGTGAGGAATCCAGGCTCCAAAATCTTCACCCATCCAACCAAAACAACTACCTACAAGTTCAATCACAAATAATTAAACTTCTAATAACTTAGAAGAAGATAAAAATAAAAATAAAAATAAAAAAAAAAAACCAAAAACGATAAACTACAATTCATCCAATCGGAAATGTAAAACGTACCAGAAGGACGTATGTACAACTAGAAATAGTTTATTTATGTCTCTCTTTCAGCAAGAATGAAATAAACTAAAAACTCCAGCTTAACTTGAACACAAAAGCACTGAAATCTTCCTACGTTACAGGTTTCAACAAATGTCGAAAATATTCAGCCTGGAAAATACCCAAGAATCATATATTAGGCATCATCAACCATTATCCAGCACAATAAAAAGAACATGGAATCTACCGAAAATGAACGAATAAAGCTGAAATATCGAATAGGGGCATCTGATTCTTCTTTTTTAGAAGTGTTAACAACAAGTAGTAAATTCAATTACTAACCTGGCAATCCTGGAGAGGTTGAAAGCATGCAATTACTCTAACAATTATGGTGGCGCCCCCATCAATCCCATTTTCGTGTTTCAATGCCCGAAATCTTGTTTGGCCCGCTGCTTGGCACACCATAACTAAACGACTTCGCGGCACTTGAATTTTTTTGGAATGACAACTTCCAAACAACAAACAATTTCAACACAGAGCAATACACTAAAACTCAAATAGAGTATGAGAAAGTCTGAGCAGATTGATTGACAAGAAAGTGAGATCGAACCCGAAAATCGAAGGAATGAAGGCAGATCAACAAGAACCAAATGGAGAAAATATGAAAAGTGTAGATGAATTTAAGCTAAATTACCCAAATACAAGCAAATGAGAGTGAATTGAAACAGAATTTCAGCTAAAGATTTAGGCTTTTTGGATTCAAATCAACTAATCTGACGAACATAACAAGGAACGACGATGAAAAAAGTGGATCCCATGGAAAATTTTCAGGCTAAAAAAGGGTAAGAAAATTGAAGGGTTATATCAGAATTTCAATATTGTTCACTGCTCATTAAAAAGAAGAATTACAGAATTACTCTGCAATAAAGGTTCAAAGAGATGGCTTTGCGAACAACATCAACAGAGAGACTCAGCCACCACCGCATGCTGTTCTGGTCTTACCCACAGTACGAATCTACAGATCTCCAACGCCTTTTCCTCAATCCCCTGCAATGGAAAACGAAGCAACAGATCAAAATGTTAGCTCTTCTTTTTTTTTTCTCGGAAATTTTCCAATTCAATATCTCGGGAAACAAACAGAAAGTCGAAGTCCAAAAACATGAATAAATCGACAAATCCGCCATTAAAAGCCGGGAAATCGAAGAGAAAACTTACAGTGGAGAAAACCCAATTTGAGAGCGAGATTGCTTGAGGGAACGAGATCGAATTGCAGCTCCGGAAGCTTTCAGAACAAGCAGAGGGCAGAGCGAGAGCGAGCAGAGCGAGAGCGAGAGAGAGAGAGAGAGAGAGAGAGAGTGGAGATTGCAGATACAGTCGGAAGACGAAACGTGATGAGAGAACGGAGGGTGAGATTATATAGAAACGGATTTTACAGAAATGTCCCTGGTTGGGGGTCGAATGACTCGAATTCTTTCTTTTTTTCTTATTGCTTTTTATATTTTTATTTTTATCCGGGGTGGACCCGTCACCGGTGGGTGATTATATTGGAATACTACTCGCTTTTTTTCTATTTTTTTTCGAACTGTTATGATTTAATCACGTTAATATTTTATATCGACATTGGAGTTTAAGTCAAATAATCAAGGATGTTATTTGCGTGGTATGTTGACGACGTCATTGGGTTCCCTACGCGAGTAACTCTGGTTGGCTTGCAGTCTTAGAGTCGAGACTCTTCTTCTGTATTGCACATGAGTCACTCTATATTCAAAATTGCCGACATACCCTCCTAATTTTAATTATATTGGAGCTTTGCCCGTCTCTTTTTCATTTTTATCATAAACCGATTGCTTTTTAGTTTTCTTGTCATGTTTATTTATAATTTTAAATTTTTAGGTGCTTAAAAAATAGTCATCTTGCACTGCTATCTTGTAGAAACATAAGCAAAAAAATGCGTATGAAAAAAATGCATGGTAATTTTTGCTAATAGTCGTTGTTAAGAACATTTTTCGTTATCCTAAAAACACTTTCAAATTGATGTTAAAGCAGTTTAACTAAAAATCACCTTATTACAGCATGACACACTAGCATCTGGCCTAATAATACTTTCATTCTTAATGATGAGATTATTTGATACCCATATGTTACCATGTATTAGCTCTAGCATATTAAATTCTGTTAGAATTATGTACTAGTCTTAAAAATTTCTTAATCCAAACACAAAGAAAAGAAAACATTAGCAATTGCTCTTATTGTAAGCACCAATAACTTTATGATTAGTCGTAACAAGACGTGATAAATAAGATTTTACATCAACAGCGACCAACTGCTATATCTTTACACATGTGTGAAAGTTGATTCAATTACACCAGTAAAAATTGATAAAATTAAGTTCAATTTAACCGCACATTATGAGAGTGAGAAGCACTAGCTATTTTAGATGGCAACATGATTCAAACTTAGTTGCTTCTCACTTTTATGCTACAAACCGTGGAAATGATGCAGAAAGGGCAATAGATATGGTAAAAACTAAAAGAAGAACGAAAGGCAAAATTAGGCAAATGTATATACAAGATTATAAGGTAGAAGGAGATGGTATCCAATGTTTTACATAAACACCAATTATTTGGAGCTTGACCATTCAAACCATTGAACTGTATACATGCATTTTGGGGGTCCCACTGATCTTTGATTGGGTAATGTGATTTCACAAACTCACACTCCACCTGACAATTGTATCTCTATCCATCGGTGGCCTACTACTTTAGGGTTAGGAGGTTAAAAGGGCAATAGGTCTACGGCAACCCCGCCATATATAGGGTACAAGAATACTTTTGGTTGATGTGATATATGGATGTATCTCGACCTCCAAAGTAGCCATCAATGGTTGGCCCGAACCAAGAGTGAAGAGCCGGGTGCATTTGATTAAGCTTGTAAAGCAAATGATTTAGAAGAAGATGGTTGTTTCCAAGGATTTCTTTGGCACCCGCATTAAACAATGATAATAAGATAATATTATAGTAATTTTAATACAACATAAAGAGAAATATTACTTCACCGTAATATTAAATGATAATAAAATCAAAATAATCGTCTTATAAAATGTATATTCTCATAGTTGATATTATAATATTTGTAAACTAAGAACCCTAATACACTTTTATCTTTTCTATCTCTCACACTCTTCGTTTTCTCGTTTTGTAACTTCTATCGCATGCATCGGATGTGTAATATCCTCTAGTATTAGTATAACAAAAGCACATCAACTTTAAAAAAATGCGATCATAAAAAAAACAAAATTACTTATTAGATAAATGGTCGAGACAGCCGTACAAATAATAAATCAAAGTATTGCCTTATTTAATAAACTGCAAATTTATCATAGGATTCTAATTTGATACGTGACTCACTTTAAACAACCAGAACAAACAGGGCCTGGATTAAAAAAACATGGAATAAAAAATCAGTGGATCGAGCGAAAGAGAACTTCTGCCCTAGACTTTAGTGCCGGCCGACTGTGGGGAGCTAGGGCATGGCATATGTTCGTACCCAAAATATAATATATAAGGTAGACCCATGATTTGATAACCTGAAAGAGATCTAATGCACAGGTAAGAAGATCCATATTACCTAATTATATATGTATTAAGCTTATTTAATTGTCAATTATATACATGCTTTCATGCTCTCTTGTTTGGAGTGGAGGGAACAAATGGCCACGCCCAATCAAGTCCTTTCCTCCCCCTCCAATCTCATTGGGTCGACCCTTTAGGTGGCACCTAAACACTCTCCCATGTATAAACTACAATGTGAGATGTAAAGCAAACCCTAATTAATAATTAAATATAAAAGCAAGGTTTCTTTTGTTCAGCGTATATCTATAAACGTTGAGTCTGATAGAGCGAGTTTGTAATTAAACTGGGCATTTAATGATTGATTGAAGATGAAACCTAAGCTAAGTGAGTATTGGTATTTAAAGTCTATTCACCAACTCGTCTTAAGCTCTCACATTACTAGAGCACCTCACTCGACTTTGAGCGGATAGCTAATAACACAGTTGAGAATATACAGTATTTTTTAAAAAAGGAAAAAGAAATATTTGCTTTCCTCCGCACGTCTTATGTGTTATTTAATCATCATAGCCACTTTAGTATCATAGAATTTAAAACTTTATAATTTAAAAGTAAAATGTTGAATGGTCCAATTAAAATGTAACAATGACACAAGAACGGTGGTTGTTGTGGATTGACCACTTGACTAAAGCCTCTTGGAACACAAGTGTTTTCCCTTTTCTTTTCTTTTTTATTTCGTTTTTAAAGTTGAAGCTTATATGGATGTTTCTGTGTAACGCACAAATACAAAATATTTTTCACTATTTGAGCTCTCTCATCACTGGTAGTGGACCCTCCATATTCTATGGATGTTCATCATGTTTTCTTCCTTTTTCTAAAAACAACCCGATATGTTATCTTAATCGAGTGTGTGTGTGTGTATATATATATATATATTCTGTGAACTTAACACCTATCACTTCCCTTTTGATCCAAAAGTTGTTCAGCTAGGAGCTCACGGGTGAACACCCAACGGAATCATGGATGTTTGAATGTAGGGTTAATTGGTTAAATACCTTTTTCTTTTTGGTGTTTTAGTCGGACTCCACCGGTATCAATCTCACAGTACTCACAGTCGCACGTACTAGGCTGAAAATATGAGTTCGATAAGGATGAGTTCAATTGTTGAGCTTAACATATGAGTTCGGTTTAAAAAAAAAAAAATATGACTCTCAAAATTATTAAACTCACACCGGTATAAAAATTGTGTTTTTAAAATAAAAACTCAGGCAGTTCGATTATTATATATATACAAAACTCAAACTTACATAAACTATTGTAAAAGACTTTAAGTTTATGTTCGTTTAAGTGTTTGTCACGTGCAAAATTTAAAGCCAAATTAGAAGAAATTAACCAAATTTACTGAAGGATTTAAAGTTAAAACTTAAAACACATGTTGTAATATCCCATATTACCAAAGGAAGTGGATCATGTAAGCCTTATATGTATATTCTCATCTCTACCTAGCACGAGACCTTTTGGGAGCTCATTGACTTCGGATTCTATTGGAACTCCGAAGTTAAGCGAGAAAGAGATCAGAGCATTCCCAAGATGGGTGACCCACTGGGAAGTTCTGCTCACGTGAATTCCCAGAAACAAAACCGTGAGGGCGTGGTCGGGGCTTAAAGCGGACAATATCGTGCTACGGCAGAGTCGAGCCCGGGATGTGGTGGAGGCCCGGATCGGGATGTGACATATGTACCAAAACGTATTACAAGCAAAACACAAAGACTAAAAATGTCTTAACAATCGAATGCAAAGTCTCGACTAGCATTCTAACAAAAATATATTTATTTATAACTAATTTCATACGTAAAGTTTGTGTTGGTGTACATGGTTTTATGATTGACATAAATGATTTGTTTCAACAGTTAATCATATGCATATACTTTTAGGTTTAACTTGCCTTCATATCATATATCAAAAGCTCATAGTTATGGTGAAAGCAGTGGCAAGTCTGTCATACATGATAGATGCACATTTGTATATCAGATCAGTAGTAAGCATTGGTTAAGAGATTTAATTTGATCTTGAATTGTGGAGCAAATGATTTTTCAGGAGGCATTTGTATTTTTTTTAGAACTTTGATGTTCTTTTAATATATGCAATTTTAATACATGTATTATTGAGCATACTGGAAGAAATTATTAAAGAAGAGCGATCCAACCCATCGAACACTTGAAAACATAACATGTGTCGTTCTGCAATTGATCGTTTTTTATTTATTTTCTTTAACAGGAGATGGATAGTTTCTTTTGAAGACACCATTAATCGGCGGATTAACATAATAAGGTATATTTGAGTCTGGTGGGGGAGCGTGGGACATGAGACCATGGAGCCATTTGGTTGTGGATTCTCCAACAAACACATCCCACGCTTGGAAAGCAAAAACAATACTCTCTCCACCAGCCCGCACTAAAAGAATCATATGCCCTTCTTTTTCATAAAAATAAGAACCAAAACCCACAAAAAATAATAAAGGAAGAAGAAAAGGCGGGAATCCATGCCGATTGGCTATTGCTATTGCCTTCCTCTCTTCCTCCCATATTTTACGGCAACGTACCGCCCACTTTCTTAGACTTTTCCCATTCTTACTTTATAGTAATGCCCTAATTATTTTACCAAGAGAAATTGGCCCATTATATTTAGAAAGTGTCAACCCTCTCCATCTCTCTTTGTTTAAGTTGATGTTTTTGCAAGCTAATATAAGTAGACAACGAAGGTTGGTTAAGTTGGTAATGATCGTTCTCTTCGCTAAATTAAGGTTTAGAT